ATGAGCACCCAATTACAAGAATGAGTTCTTCAGTTAGTACAACTCGCTTTTAGTAGGGCCATGATCTTTTTTCTTTCTTATAGTTATCTCATACTGTTGCTTTTGGCCAATACTGAGGTAGAATGTCATGATTCCCATGCTCAGCATGGCTGAGGAGTCTTCTTACTTTATGGCAACAGAGAAGCAAAAGAGAGAAGCAGAAAGGGGGTGAGTTTCCTCCCCGTCTTCCACCAAGCTCCAGTGCCTAAAAGATTCCATCATGTCCTAGTACTTGCACAGGATGGACGTCAAGCTTTCAACACATGAGCTACCGAGGAACCTTCAATACACAGACTACCGTAAATGGAAAGCAACTCGAGTCTTAAGACGGATTGAGGATCGGACAAGCAGGGGTGGGAAACATTATGCTACACAGTGGTGACAGGATGTCAAGATACAACCATACTCTAGGAATTATTAGTCTAATGGAATAGAGGGGACCATGCGTGGCAGCTCCTGTGAAGGGTGTGTCCATATTCCACAAGGTTTCAGATGGAAGATGGACAACAGTTAGAAATGATTGTATCCAGGTCCTTGTGTAGAGCATCAACAGTAATGAAAAAAACCAAGTTAAAGCAAGAATAGAGACAGATGAGTTTTGGACCCTGGTGAGCTAGTTATGAAGCACAAATGAAATAATAGATTTGAGCATGTTCCAAGTGTGTGTGTGGTATTGGGAATGGAACTCGTGGGATAGAACCTAAGTTCTCACGCATGCCACTCCTTCCCCTCTAAAGTACACTTTTTCAATGTCTATATACTATAGTAAGAAATCTTTTTGGCAAATGGGTTCTTAACAATTTGATTCTTACCCAGGCTCCATCCTCCTTAATACTGGCAGCATTCGATCCTCATGCATACTTTGGCATCGCTCCTATCTTCCCACCTATCAATCAGTGCCAGATAGCAGCTGCCTTCCGTCTTAAACTAAATAATAAGCATTGTATGAGTTAACTTTTACAAGCAGTTGCTTAAAATAGCAGCATAGTAAACGAGGGTTTTAAGGCTGGGATATAAACTTTACCCTTCATTTTATAGTGGAATAAACAAACACCCAGTCTTTGCCTCAGGTTTCTTGAAGAGTAAATGTGAGAGACCTAGAACAAGTATCTAGAACAGGACCCGAAAAGGTATCTGCAGGGGCTTTCTGCTGCACTCCTTGTAGGGTTTGGACTAACATAAAGATTATTGACCTCCAACTGGAAAGGAATTTAAAATTCAGAACGTGTGTAACTCATGGGAAAGGCACAGGAAGGCCCAATGGTTGTCTCTCCTGTTCTGTCCTCAACCAGCCAGTCAATTCACTCAGGCTTCTTCAACATGAACTTTTCTAGTTTTGGGGCCAGAAATAGTTGTGTCTTACACCTCAGGGATAAAGACACTCCATTCTCAGATCACCTTATTGTTGTGGTCAATAACTTTGACATGATATTATGAGTATCTCATTTGGCCTGAGTTGGCCAAATCCTATTTCTTCAGAATAATATTCTCTTAAGATGTTTACCTTATGTTGCAAATCTGCAGGGATCACATCTAACAAAGTGGTTGGCAAAAGATTCACTTTTGTGTCGAGGCTTTGGAAAGTCTCCTAGCTCCGTGGTAGTACTACTTCTTCCACATCCTGGATCTCAAGGAAATGCACGGTTCAGGGGAAAGGTGCACATAGGGCCAGAGAAGGCAGGGACTAAATGATAACAATGCTATAACAAGACAGGGAGCTCTTTAGTGACCAAGTTCATTCTAGGTTCTTAGAGGTGTTTTTTTCTTTTTTTTTCTAGAATGCAGTACTTGTAGATTTACATCAACATCTATAAAATACCTCCTCTTCCATCAAAGTGAACTTGAATGTACCCTAGGAAAAGGTCTCCTAAATTTTTATATAGTTATAATAAGGGCCACAAGGGCCAGACATAGTAGTTCCTGCCCTAGAACCCCAGCTTAGAGAGTATAAGTAGATGGGTTGTGATTTAAGGTCAGACTGGGCCAAACCTGCTGGGGGCAAACCTGCTCCCAACAGGTTTGGCTCACCCTCTAGGAATAAAATAGATGTCAAAGAGTAAGTTTCCCCTATTATAGCTATCAAGCTAGCTTTTAGCATGAGGGTTTCCAGAGATAGATACTTCTCAGCTTGGAAAAGTAATATTCTTTTCTCTTTTTGACATAAACAGTCTCTGTGGCCACTGGATATTAGTTTCCATTTGCATATTCCGTTCTGGTTTTCCTTTTTATTTAAAATTCTTCCTGTTCAGTTTTTTTTTTAAGCCATGTATTGATTTCAACTTACCAAATATTTTTCCATGCACTTCAGGAAAATAATTACTTTTGTTTAAGCTTTTCCCAAGACTCCTGCTTATAATTAAGGTTATATCTGTCTTCAAGGAGCTACGCATTTGAACTGTACATTAAAAAACTATCCATTAAAAAAACAACAGTCTGTGCTATTGAAATGCAACTCTAAGTAGTGGAGTGAACCACAGGACGAACACAATGGATCATTCAGGTGACCTGTAATATGAGTCATCAACTTTGCAAGAAGAGTCACTGAGGCAAAAACTACCTTGTGTCTATAATTATCATGGTTACAAGATTATTTAGCAAACAAACCACTAGATGTTTTTTTTTGGTCTCTCCTTTCATATCACTTGGAATCTAGAATTAAAATTTCTTTAAGGGTTTCCAAATCTATGAATGAAATTTCACTTGCAAGGAGATTTAAAGAAAAAACTTTTGTAATCTAATGCATTCTAAATTTAATTCAGCAAATTTCCTTTAGTGCTGTGCTGTGTGTGTGCACACCTGTGCTGATCCTGGACCTTGAACTCAGGGCATAAGCACTGTCCTTGTAGTTCTTTTTGCTCAAGGATAGTACTCTACTACTTAAGCCACAGCTCCACCTCTGGCTTTTAGGTGGTTAACCATAGTTAAGACTCTCACAAACTTTCTTGCCTGGAGTTGGCTTTGAACCATGACCCCAAATCTCAGCCTCCTCTGTAGCTAGTCACCAGCACCAAGAAGAGTTTCCTTTTATTTACTACAAATTATCTCAAGGTTTAAGAAGCTTTAAAAATCTGTATTATGAAAATGTAATTAAATGTAAAGCACATAAAGCAGAGCAAGATACTTTGCCAAATTAGGTTATCTTACTCATGATCTTATTATTCCACCAATTTTGCTTGGTTTCTGATTTCACTGAGTTGGGATTAAATCAGTGTATTCTTCCCACTGCATAATTCAGGAGTGCTTGAAAATGATGTAATTACAAACCTCAAAGGCAGATTGTGAATTACACTCACTGTCATAACTACTATGAGCATGGTTTTCTTTGCTAGCAGCAAAGTAAAGCTGTCATGTTAATAAATTCCTCCACTTGGAATCTGCTATTGGATATCTGCAGCAATTGTGTACTTGGATGGGATCCAAAACTAGACATAAAAGCTGGGAAAATGCCAATTCTTTGCGAACTTTAAGGGATCTAAAGAATTTTTAAAATCTGAAACAAGGAAATGGAGACAAAAGTTTCTAAACATGTACACCTCTCATCAATTAGTTACATGAGAGAGGGAGAGAACATTTTGGACGGTTACTTCCTTCTAGCTTTGCTTTTTTTCTACAAAGTGAAAAAAAAAAAATCTCATGCAAGCTTTCCAGAACCTTTCTTGCCAACCTTTGCAATATTCACTCCCAAGCCTACATTCCTCTCCCTTATCATGAACTTTTGGTCTACTCCAAGTTCTCAACTGCTTCTTCTTCATCTGAATCTAGGCCCGTTTAAAATTTATGTTAATGGTGGAGAATGATGAAAGGATAATCAAAATGCATTGTGCTTATAAATTAAAGGTTAAATTGAAACCCCTTTGTGTAACTGTTGAAAGGTAATAGAAAAAATAAAAATAAAATTAATGTCAGTCTTCCTCATGCAGCAAACCCACTGCAGGATATTTCTTCACATTCTTCTGGGATTTAAACACACAACAAAAGTCTTTCATACTTATAAAAAGAATGCCATAAAACAGCAATAATTTTAAAAACTGCCCTATAATTTCTCTTTTAATGTAAAGATGTTCATACTCTCTATGTAAATAATTTCCTTTAGAGTAAGATTTTTGGTATGTGGGAATCTACTAACTCTATTAGTCTATTACCTAATCTTGAATCATTAATTTTCTTTTAGCCTTCCTCATCAAATTGCTTTGTGGGATTTTCTTTATACTGACATGTTTTACTATTTTAAAAATAGCTAAGAGAAACAAAAATCAGCCACCCTATCTATTGAGTCTAAGTTCTTGCTAAACAGATATGTGTTTTTATCACTGTAATTTTTCTGCTATGGATTTCTACATGCTTATAAATGAATTGAATTGTGGTGGGAAAGATCTCAGGGCCTCTTCACGACTACAATAACTCTCTTGTAATTTACTGAAAGCAAGTGGTGTTCATTTACTCTTTTTCTTCAAGTTCGTAATAAAAGCAAACAGGTAGATTTTTGTTAAGAACCTTCAGTTTTGATAGATCTAAAGGCTGTGGAATGAGATAAATGCAGGCTTTAGATGGAAAGGAATAAGCTTTTGAAGCAAAAAGGTGGGGAAAAAGTGGCATCACACAAACTGAATGAATTTGATCCACTAGTTTAAACATTTTTGGACAATTGTTAAGTAAGGCCAATCAGTGGATACTGAAAGGAATGTAATCTTGGTTTATTAAATACCTTACTCTATGAAAGTGCACTGAAGTCAAAGGAGAATTTAGAAATAATGACTTGGTACCTCCCTTCCTTGAATTTGGTTAGTAAATTGGAACATCTGGCTAGCTGGTTCCAGTCTGGGCGTTTCTGGTTTCTAGAAATGTTCTCTTCCAATGTCGTATGGCAAATGATTAACTCTGTCACCTCGGACTTTGCATGCCTGCCTTTAAGTATGATGAGCTTCAATCTTGGAATGGAAAAAATACAAAGTCACCTTAAGTCTTACAGCGCAACAATTTTAATAGTCCACACTAAACCAGGCAGATTCGTTTTGCAATTCCACTTTGGAAACAATCCTGCCTTACTTCAAGAAGTTTCTAACTTAGGAATGGTTCTTCTCCCCTCTTCCTTCACTTGAAAGCATAAATTCTGGGTCAGACCCTAACCTGCATTTCTTGGTCACAAAACAGCACTATGATTTGTTCTCCAGAGTACACATTAGGAACTCATCTTCCTCCTACAAGAGACTTCAGAGTTGAAGTTCAGGTACTTACTGTCTCTGAGAGAAGAACCCATATACCCATCTCACTCTCAAAGTGACCAGAGTGAGGGTCAGGTCTCAAACTGCCTTTTAGAAGAAAAAAAAACCAACATCATGCCAACTCCTCAACGAAGGTATCTTCTTTTGCCACAAATAAATACTTAGTGCACTTCTGAGTCTTGAACTATGCAAAGCTCAAGAGACACTTCAATTTCCAGAAAAATAAATCACGGGGAGGTCTTTGTGTGAAATACTCTGAATTTCGTGGTGTGAGAGAGACACCAAGTGCCGGGCAGGTAGAATTCTCGAGTTTAGAACTGATGTGAGGGCAAGGGTGGGGAGAGACACAGTCCTGGAGCTGGCTCAGGCTACGGCTTGCTCTCCTGCGGGTCCACTGCAAAGTCGGCCTCCTCAGGGGACCTGTCTCCCTCTGGAAGCAGAGTGGCACGCACTTTCCTCTTCTCCTTAAAGCGACCAGAACGAGAGATCTTCAAATTGCGGCGGCTGCTGCCTGATTTCTCCCCACACAACTTGTCTGCCTTGAGGGTCTCACCAGTACCCCCGAGAACATTGGGGTGCTGGTTCTCTTGGGAGCTGCTAGTCCAGTCTGGGCTGGGGGAAAGGGGATCTTCGAGATCTGGGTCCGTCTGGGACGGAGCTTGCGCCTCCATGGTGGTTTCCTTGCTTTTCTTCTTGCTGTTGGTTAGTGATTTCCACCAGGGGTTGGAGCCACCGCTGTCCGCCATCGCCCCCGCAGGCGCGGGGATCTAACTTGCCCTGGCCCCGCACTCAGTTTCCCTAAGGGTTCACTCCAGCCCTTGGCTTGCTTCTTTTTTTGGCAGGTTGCAGGGAGGGGGTCAAAACAGCGCCTTGTACTGGGCAAGAAAACAAGACTTGGTTACTGGATTGGTGGAAATCTCCCAATCTCAATCTCTCCCCATGTGTTGGGCCTGGCACCTGTTGGGACTAGTTTAAAGCACCCCAAGCTCTAAGGCTGAGCCACCGGCCCCAGAAGGCACTGTCTTGCTTCCGGAGGAGGAAAGAAATGTAGCCTTTATCCATCCTCCATCTTCAGGCCTCAGTCTTTGCTCGAGGGCAGGGGAGGTGCTGTGGTCAGTGTGCCAATGGTGCCCAGGGAACTGGATCCACCTACTTGGAGGGGGAAAAGGGCTTGTTCCATTCACTCTACAGATGGATGCCCGTGGTGACCGGCCCTGCCTAGCATGTTTGACCTGGGAAGAAGCTGCTCAGAAACAAATGTAATGGTGTCCAGGTGAACAGAGTTAGGCGACGGCCGAAACCCAAAACAAAACAAAAACTACCCACACATTTTCCTAAGGCTTCCTCCTATATACCCCAGTCGCAAGATTTCTTTCCACATGAGAGTTCAGAGAACTTAAATTCCCAGCAAGCAAGAGGGGCAGTTCTGCCTTGTGACTTTAGCAAGACTAAACTTCCCTTAAAACCAGCCATCCTACTCCTCCTTATATTCCCCAGAAGCCAAGCTCAGCCAAAAGCGGAGATAAGGCCCAGTGGAGAATGAACTCCTTCCCTCTTTCCTTAGCTCTGCATGAAAATATGCATCGAGTCTGTTTGTATCACACAACCCAACTCTTGATCATTTTAGTTACAAAGACTTCTTTTCCTTTGAGCAAATCCTATCCTCCAAAAAAGGATGGAGCACAACCAGGAGCTCCAAAACAATGTGCATATTCCTTCAACCTTTTAATAGCTCCTCAGGGGAGCCAAAGACTGCTGAATAGCACTTGCAGCTAACGTGCAGGACCGCTGTGAGATCCTCCCCGGGGTTCCTTCTAGGTTTCCTTCCCCCCTCCTTCCTCTGCCCCCCCCCCCTCTCTCCTTTTCCTTCTCTCCCCCCACCGGGGTTGTAAGTACCAGGGATGGAAATTTCGAAGGTGTCTGTGGTCAGAGGTTTTCCTACGGGAACCGCTTGGGAAAGGAAGTCCGGGCGCCTATGGGAGGTGGCGCCGCAGCCCCGGTGAGCCCCGAAACTCAAGCAGCAGCTCTTTCACCAGGTGACCTGGAGGACACTTTCTTGCTTGGATTTGCAAATAAGAAAAGCTCAAACGCCCCCCAAATTCTTTTCCACGCAAAAGGCCACCCGCATCCTGAGGCCCAAACGGGCACATTGGGGGTGCACACACCCCGCTTTCCTTTCTCTTTTGCAAACCCGGGGTGGGGGGGGGGGGAAAAGCACCTTCAAAGGGATTTAGCACCGGCGGCAGAGGCGGGCTTCCAAGGCCCGGCTTTGTCCTGCCGGGCACCGGGCACCGCATCAACTTTCCGTGCGCCACACGGGCGGGTGCGAATTGTGCAAAGCAGAGACCGCACAGACGCGAAAGATCGCGCCAGCGCCCGGAGCCCGGAGGCGGGCGCAGGAGACGCGGAGACGGCACCCGGAGTGACAGCCAGCCCCGCAGAGCCGCCGCAGCCCGCTCACCTGTTCGAGCTTCCTTAGCGGACCCCGGCCCCGCGCACGGCGGAGAGGCCCAGGGCGCACGCCGCGAGCTGCCCGACGCCTGGGCGCCGAGGCCCCTCGGCGGGGCGGTGGAGATCCTGGGGCGGGGGCCTCGGGCCGCTGCCTTCGAATCCAGGTGCCGCTGCCGGTCTTGCGTGGCGCCTTCAAACCGCGGCGCGCAGCGCGCAGCCCGGGCTCCGCGGCGCCGTCTGCGCAGGCAATCTTTCCGGGTTCGGAGCTTACATTCTCCGGCGCGTCCTTCTTCCCCCCTCCCCTCCCCGCTAGCGCAGCTCGGAAGCCGCCGGGAGGTGGGCCCTGGGCGGCTCACTCGGGCGCACCGAACCTTCCACTGCGTCCTTAGGAACGGGAAAAGACATCTGCCTACCTGCTGGTGGTTCGCCCAGTGATTGGAGGAACCAGAGCCCGGCGCGGCTGCCCTGGGAGGAGGGGGGAGTAGGGGAGGGGAGGAGGGGGAGGAGGGGAGGGAGGGCAGGGGGCGGAGGGGGGGGGGCCCTTCGGCGGCCTCCGCTGCCACAGGTGCAGGTAGGCACTTGGCGTTCCCGCCCTCCGGGGGATCAGATTGGATCAGGTCGCGACGTGGCGCCAGCCTCGAGGAATCTGATTGGAGGAAAGCTGCGCGGAGCCCCGCCGGCCGAACCGACCTCAGGAGTTGAACACCGTGGAGCGCCGAGCCGGGAGACCCCGAATAAACATTGCGGCAGTGTTCCCTGCTTCCTGGAGACCCCAGATTTCTCTCCCCCGCCCCCCCCCCCGCGCTCTGGCTTTCCCCATCCGAGAGTTTTGTGACTCCCAAGAACGGATTCAAAGGTGGGGTGGGGAGGGGGAGGCTGGAGCGCTTCCGACGCCCTTGGTTCACCGCCTGGGGCCGGGCTGGCTGCGGGGCGCAGGGGGCCGTTGGCAGTGCGTCCCCTCCGTACTCCAGCCCTGGGGGTAGTAGTGCTAACTACCCTCACCCGACTGGCCAGGAAACCGTGGCTGGCGAAGGTTAGACAGTTGTGCAGGTTGGTGAGAGGAGAGCCAGGTTGGAACCCCAGAAGTCTGCATCGAGCTGTACCACAGCCCGTCCATCCTGGCCTTTAACACCACTGAACACGTCTGGAAAGCCACGGACAGCCACCCCACAGGGAAGAACAAATGCAGCCCTGAACCGCGGAAAGCGACCGGGTGCACGGTATCTCTATGCAGTTTAGTTTGACAAGAGGGCATGGATGTGGGACTTTATGCTAAGAAACGCAGAGATGCAACTTGCTGTCTTGCAGGATGCTCCGCCAGAGGCAATGTGGGATTCACTGCCCCAGCTGAAACTAGGCAACCTTTTCAGGTTAGGAGTCCCATGAGTGCTTCTGATGGAGCAATGGAAGGCATTAAAGACATTAAGCAAAAAGCGCTGACTTAATCCAAGTAATTTCCAATATAGTAGTTAAGAGGAGTTTATTTTCTTGGGGTCCGTACTGGGGCTTGAACTCAGGGCCTGGACATTTTATCTTTTAGGATTGCCGCCGTACCACTTGAGCCACAACTACTTTCAGCTTTTTGTGGTTAATTGGTCTTGTAGACTTTTCTGCCCAGGCTGGCTTGAAACCACACTCCTCAGATCCTAGGATTACAGGCATGAATCATGAGTACCCAGCAAAAGAGGTGTGTGTGTGTGTGTGTGTGTGTGTGTGTGTGTGTGTGTGTGTGTGTGAGACACACTGGGGCTTCAAGGACTTCCACTCCTATTTAGCTTTTGTTGCTCAAGGCTGGTGTTCTGTCACTTGAGCCGTACTTTCACCTTCAGCTTTTTCTGCTGGTTAATTGGAGATGAGTTCCATGGACTTTTCCACCCCAGCTAGCTTAGAGCTGTGATCCTCAGATCTCAACCTCCTTGGTTGTAATACCTCCTGGTATTACAGGAATGAGTCACCAGTACCTGGCAAGTTTTATGCAGTATTTAAATACATGAAAGAGAAGATATAAATGTTTTAAGTTCTTGCTTTTTAAATGATATGTAATGTGGTATGTGTTTGGAAGTGATGTACTTGTTTAGTTATTGGGATTAGCTTTTAAATGCAAAGATCAGTCATATCACTAAGACTGAACAAAGACAGGCTAACAACTTTGAGGGGAGGATGGGACAATTTATGGAAATGTCATCTCTCTACAGAAAAAGCAACTGAGTTACCAGCAGTCTTTGAGTGGTCACCTGTGGTCAGGGGCAACATTACTGACCATGTGGGTGAAAGAAAGAAGACAGGAAAAGAACATCAGTACTTCCAAAGAATTTCCCATCTAGATGATTTGAACCAAGTCATGATCCTCTATTAATTGCTGAAATATAGTTTTGATTCTTTTCTATATTGTCAACAACCTTGTTTCTTTCATGTTTCAAGGGTTAAGTGGTAATATCTTACAAACAAGCCTGGCATACAGTGAACACATTTGAATGGAGACATGAATCCAAGGAGGAATGAAGTGAAAGTAGAGCTTGGGGTTCTGGAGGTATAGAGAAGGCAGAAGTAAATGTCCGGCATGAACTGTGGGCAATGAGGCAGGAAAGGAAAGCTGAGTGTCAGTGCACCTTCTGCATTAAAGCCCATTGAAGAGAGGATGACAATGGGGATGTTTGTCTTTGTATATTTATTTACATATTGATTTAGGAAATACTAGTGTTTGCACCTAGGATCTTATGATTGCTACTTGAGCCACATGTCCATTTTTTTTTTTCTGTGCCTATCCTGGGGCTTGAACTCAGTGCCTGGGCACTGTCCCAGAGGAGATTTTTTTGCTCAAGTCTAGCACTCTACTACTTGAGCCACAGCTCCACTTACAGCTTTTTTCTGGTTAATTGGAGACAAGAATCTCACAGACTTTCTTGCTCAGGCTGGCTTTCAATAGATCTCAGCTTCCTGAGTAACTAGGATTAGAGGTGTGAGCCACCAGTGCCTGGTTGATTTGGTTTTTTTTTTTTAATTTTATCAATATTGTACTTTACCTTTTTAAATTTTTTAATGTTTTTTATTGTGAAAATACTGTACAGAGGGATTACAGTTACATGAGCAAGGTAATGAGTACATTTCTTATCAAGCATTGTTGCCTCCTTTGTTTTTCCCCTACCATCCTTCCCTCCCACTTCCACAACTACATTCCCCCCCTCCCCCGATTTGTTTTTTTTGAGACAGTGTCTTGCTTTATCCCCAGGCCACCTGGGACTGTGATGATCCTCCTACTTATGATTCCCTTTGTCACTGGGGTGACAGGTGTAGTCTCCTAGGCCCAGCATTTTATTGAGTTGTAGACTCTTCTTTCAATGTTCTTTGTTTGTTTTTCTAATTTCTTGTCTCTGCCCACCAAGTAGCTAAGGTTACAGGTGTCAGTCATCCTGCTTAGTGCTTTTTATCTACCTCTTTATCTATCTATCTATCTATCTCTCTATCTTGGGGTGCTAGTGATCAGATCCATGCAAGACAGATGCATGCCCTGTCATTGAGCCACATCCCCACCCTGAGATTTGCATTAAATATGACTGTAGCTATATGTAAAGAGTAGGTGGTAAAGGGCAAAAGACCAGGCTGCATAGAGACTGGTTAAGAACCACGGGAATAGTTCTCATGGAGTATCTATTGCTTCTGGTGGCTTGTAGCATAGTAGAGGTTTTGTGTGTGTGTGTGTGTGTGTGTGTGTGTGTGTGTGTGTGTGTGTGTGTGAATGTCAGAGATATTGGAGATAAAATCAATTAACTCATACAGAAGGGGAGATTGTTTCGTATTTTTTGTGAGTAGGAACAACTACAAGTCCAGGTTTCCCCAAAGGGCTGAAAAGACTTCAGGAATTCTTCTACAAATAATGGGTAGAACCTTCGGAGAACATCTTTTTATCACACTCTCAATTTTTTAGCTTGATGTAGATGTGATATCTGCTACCATGTTGCAACAGCTGAGGCCATGGGCACAGGAAAGAAAGACAACATGCTAAGGATGAGTGCATAGGAATGTGAAAGGTATCTTGATGATGCCCATGAGCCCCTGACAAAACAAACAAGAACCACCAATTCCATATTTAGAATCCAGTGAAATAATTCATACCCTATGATTCATCCTCAGACTCAAACGTGCTTTCCAGTGATTTGGTCAAACATATGTCTGCCTTATTACAGACTGCTATAGTTACAAGAGAATGTAATACTATTTTAAAAGGAGGAAAGATAGTATTTTGTTGTGAATCTGAAAATTCCTTGATGAAAGAGTAAAAGAAGTCTATAGGTAATGGGGAAGTTTTACAAGTGAGGGAAAGCATCTGGAAAACAAAGTGGTTTGATTTAAAAGATTTAGAATAGGAGGAATAAGTAGATAAAAGGATATGTATTGTGCACAAACAAATGGCCGTAGGTAAATTCAAAACATGAAGTTGAGAAGTAGCAGTGGAGAGAATACAGTTATCATATTCAATGCACACCCTATGAAACTAAGAAAATTTGAGGGGAGGGTTTGTGTTGGGAGGGATGGAGAAAAATGATCAAGATGCATTGGATTTATAAGCTGATTTATGGGATGGAAACTTTGTACAACTACTTAAGGACACTAAAATGTAATTTAAAAAGATGGGAATCATCAGATTATCTGAGACACCATAGTAACTGACCTTTTTGTTATGATTTTGTGAGAATAGATCTCAATATGAAGTCCATGTTGACCTCAAACTCATGATCCTCCTCCCTCATTAATGCTGGGACTACAATAAATCTGACAGTTTAAAATCAAAACAGTGAAGACTTATTTTCCTCCATTTTAGTTGCCAGACCCATTCTAATCTATAAATATTTCATAAACTCTCTATGTCAAAATACAAGTCCAGTGTTAAATGTGTAGTTTAACACTGTTTTGTGGTTGCTAAATCAACAATTACACTACTGGTTCCATAAGAAGGTGATAGCCTAGCCCTAGACTTCTGTATTGCTTAGTTGAGAACTCTAAAGATGGACATAAAAGTTGATTTCTATTGTACTTTGTGTACATTCAATAATATTTTTCTGGTCATCTTTATCTTTATGTTGATGATTTTTAATCTGTATGTTGATGGTTTGAATAAGACAATTTAAATCTTAAAAAATGGTGCTTTCTCATATGAGATACGACAATCAAAATTAATTTCTTAGAAGGCAAGTAATAGGAATTAAAAATCAGACTTAGAGCTTAAGTCTGGCATTTGCTATCCTAGCAAAGCCTGGCATTGCAGGAGAGGTTGGGAAATGGATAAACTCCTTTTTAAGTATCTATGTTGGGATCTGGACTGAGGACACACAAGATCCCAACAGGAATATTAAATAAATATGGCCAGGGAAAATGAAGAAAAATCACATTTCCTCAGAGACAGCTACAGCTGTGCCTTGCATTAATCTATCTATTCTCTTTGCACTTCACAACTCCTCCTTTCATT